ACACCATCCCTCTTGTTCAACAATACCATCCCTCTTGTTCAACGACACCATCCCTCTTGTTCAACAACACTATCTTCTCTTGTTCAACGACACCATCCCTCTTGTTCAAAAACACCATCCCTCTTGTTCAACAACACCATCCCTCTTGTTCAACAACACCATCCCTCTTGTTCAACAACACCATCCCTCTTGTTCAGTAACACCATCCCTCTTGTTCAACAACACCATTCTTCTTGTTCAACGACACCATCCTTCTTGTTCAATGATAGAATCCTTCTTGTTCAACGACATCATCCTTCTTGTTCAACGATACCATCCTTCTTGTTCAACGACACCATCCTTCATGTTCAACGATACAATCATTCTTGTTCAAAGACACCATCTTCTCTTGTTCAACAATACCACCCCTCTTGTTCAACAATACCACCCCTCTTGTTCAACAACACCATCCCTCTTGTTCAACAACACCATCTTCTCTTGTTCAACGACACCATCCCTCTTGTTCAACAACACCATCCCTCTTGTTCAACGACACCATCCTTCTTGTTCAACAACACCATCCTTCTTGTTCAACGACACCATCTTCTCTTGTTCAACAACACCATCCCTCTTGTTCAACAACACCATCCCTCTTGTTCAACGATACCATCCCTTTTGTTCAACAACACCATCCCTCTTGTTCAACGATATCATCTTCTCTTGTTCAACGACACCATTCCTCTTGTTCAACGATACCATCCCTTTTGTTCAACAACACCATCCCTCTTGTTCAACGATATCATCTTCTCTTGTTCAACGACACCATTCCTCTTTTTCAACAATACCATCCCTCTTGTTCAACAACACCATCCCTCTTGTTCAACGACACCATCTTCTCTTGTTCAGTAACACCACCCCTCTTGTTCAACAACACCATCCCTCTTGTTCAACAACACCATCTTCTCTTGTTCAACGACACCATCCCTCTTGTTCAACAACACCATCCCTCTTGTTCAACGACACCATCTTCTCTTGTTCAGTAACACCACCCCTCTTGTTCAACAACACCATCCCTCTTGTTCAACAACACCATCTTCTCTTGTTCAACGACACCATCCCTCTTGTTCAACGACACCATCCCTCTTGTTCAACAACACCATCCTTCTTGTTCAACAACACCATCCTTCTTGTTCAACGACACCATCTTCTCTTGTTCAACAACACCATCCCTCTTGTTCAACGACACCATCTTCTCTTGTTCAGTAACACCACCCCTCTTGTTCAACAACACCATCCCTCTTGTTCAACGACACCATCTTCTCTTGTTCAGTAACACCACCCCTCTTGTTCAACAACACCATCCCTCTTGTTCAACGACACCATCTTCTCTTGTTCAGTAACACCACCCCTCTTGTTCAACAACACCATCCCTCTTGTTCAACGATATCATCTTCTCTTGTTCAACGACACCATTCCTCTTTTTCAACAATACCATCCCTCTTGTTCAACAACACCATCCCTCTTGTTCAACGACACCATCTTCTCTTGTTCAGTAACACCACCCCTCTTGTTCAACAACACCATCCCTCTTGTTCAACAACACCATCTTCTCTTGTTCAACGACACCATCCCTCTTGTTCAACAACACCATCCCTCTTGTTCAACGACACCATCTTCTCTTGTTCAGTAACACCACCCCTCTTGTTCAACAACACCATCCCTCTTGTTCAACAACACCATCTTCTCTTGTTCAACGACACCATCCCTCTTGTTCAACGACACCATCCCTCTTGTTCAACAACACCATCCTTCTTGTTCAACAACACCATCCTTCTTGTTCAACGACACCATCTTCTCTTGTTCAACAACACCATCCCTCTTGTTCAACGATGCCATCCCTTTTGTTCAACAACACCATCCCTCTTGTTCAACGACACCATCTTCTCTTGTTCAGTAACACCACCCCTCTTGTTCAACAACACCATCCCTCTTGTTCAACGATATCATCTTCTCTTGTTCAACAATACCATCCCTCTTGTTCAACGACACCATCTTCTCTTGTTCAACAATACCATCCCTCTTGTTCAACGACACTATCTTCTCTTGTTCAACAACACCATCCCTCTTGTTCAACAACACCATCCCTCTTGTTCAACAATACCATCCCTCTTGTTCAACGACACTATCTTCTCTTGTTCAACAACACCATCCCTCCTGTTCAACAACACCATCCCTCTTGTTCAACAACACCATCCCTCTTGTTCAGCAACACCATCCCTGAACATTAAAATGTTATAAAATACCGACAGGTTGTTAGGTAAGACACATATGCAACAGTTAGGTGTCTTTATTATAAAGATACCTAACTGTTGCATATGTGTCTTACCTAACAACACCATCCCTCTTGTTCAACGATACCATCCTTCTTGTTCAACAACACCATCCTTCTTGTTCAACGATACCATCCCTCTTGTTCAACGATACCATCCTTCTTGTTTAACAGCACCATCCTTCTTGTTCAACGATACTATCCTTCTTGTTCAACGATACCATCCTTCTTGTTCAACGATACCATCCTTCTTGTTCAACAACACCATCCTTCTTGTTCAACGATACCATCCTTCTTGTTCAACAACACCATCCTTCTTGTTCAAAGATACCATCCCTCTTGTTCAACGATACCATCCTTCTTGTTCAACAACACCATCCTTCTTGTTCAATGATTCCATCCTTCTTGTTCAACGATACCATCCTTCTTGTTCAACGATACCATCCTTCTTGTTCAACGATACCATCCCTCTTGTTCAACGATACCATCCTTCTTGTTTAACAGCACCATCCTTCTTGTTCAACGATACCATCCTTCTTGTTCAACGATACCATCCTTCTTGTTTAACAGCACCATCCTTCTTGTTCAACAACACCATCCCTCTTGTTCAACAACACCATCCCTTTTGTTCAGCAACACCATCCCTTTTGTTCAGCAACTCCATCCCTATGGTTCAACGACACCATCCGTCTTGTTGAACCACGGTACGGGTGGGTTTGTCTTCCATTTGTCAGGTGATGCCCGGTTAGGGTAGTCAGTTCAAGCTAGAGAAGGTCAAGTTAGGGTAGGTCAGGTCATTTTAAGGTAGGTCAGGTTGGGTTAGGTCAGGTCAGGTTAAGGTAGGTCAGGTTAGAGTATGTCAGGTTAGGTCAGGTCAGGTTAAGGTAGGTCAGGTTAGAGTAGGTCAGGTTAGGTCAGGTCAGGTTTGGGTAGGTCAGGTTAGAGTAGGTCAGGTTAGGTCAGGTCAGGTTTGGGTAGGTCAGGTCATTTCAGGATGAGTTCAGCTAATTTTCGACAAAATATATGTAATCTTACAACAAATAATTAGTAGCATAAGGAAGGACATAAGCCATACCCCCGGCCGGGATTGAACCCGCGGTCATAGAGTCTCAAAACTCCAGCCCGTCGCGCGGTGTGAAGGTTGTTTCCTGGGAACAGAGGATCGAGCACACACAACAGCACACGCTCATTTACACACCTTAAATTCCTTAGTTTTCTGTCTGTTGTCTCTGTTATTGTCTCTTGTCTCTCTGTTACTGTCTGCTGTCTTTCTGTTTTTGTCTCTTGTCTCTCTGTTACTGTCTGCTGTCTTTCTGTTTTTGTCTCTTGTCTCTCTGTTACTGTCTGCTGTCTTTCTGTTTTTGTCTCTTGTCTCTCTGTTACTGTCTCTTGTTTCTCTGTTACTTTCTCTTGTCTCTCTGTTACTGTCTCTTGTTTCTCTGTTACTTTCTCTTGTCTCTCTGTTACTGTCTCTTGTTTCTCTGTTACTTTCTCTTGTCTCTCTGTTACTGTCTCTTGTTTCTCTGTTACTTTCTCTTGTCTCTCTGTTACTTTCTCTGGTCTCTCTGTTACTGTCTATTGTCTCTCTGTTACTGTCTCTTGTCTCTCTGTTACTGTCTCTTGACTATCTATTACTGTCTCTTGTCTCTCTGTTACTGTCTCTTGTCTCTCTGTTACTTTCTCTTGTCTCTCTGTTACTTTCTCTTGTCTCTCTGTTACTTTCTCTTGTCTCTCTGTTACTGTCTCTTGACTATCTATTACTGTCTCTTGTCTCTCTGTTACTGTCTCTTGTTTCTCTGTTACTGTCTCTTGTCTCTCTGTTACTGTCTCTTGTCTCTCTGTTACTGTCTCTTGACTATCTATTACTGTCTCTTGTTTCTCTGTTACTTTCTCTTGTCTCTCTGTTACTTTCTCTGGTCTCTCTGTTACTTTCTCTGGTCTCTCTGTTACTTTCTCTGGTCTCTCTGTTACTTTCTCTTGTCTCTCTGTTACTTTCTCTGGTCTCTCTGTTACTGTCTATTGTCTCTCTGTTACTGTCTCTGTACCTGTCCTTCTGTTGTCTCCTGCATTCATAATTATTAACACAAACCTTTGTGTAAACAAACGTATTTATAAAGAGAAAAAGCAGACGAGACTCGAACCGGGGTCCTGGCATGTCGCAGGCCCAACGGTTCGAATCCCCGTCCATTCTTCACTTTGTTCACGGACAGTCGTACATTACGACGAATCTTGAGTTTAAACACATTCATATCCTAGTGAACCCATAGATAAGGAGCCGCATATTTCGATCTGTAACTTAGATCCTCTTTTGTTGAAGAGAATCTCAAATTGCGACAAAAAGGAGCATCTCCTCTTATTTGGTCATAAAGATCCCATGTCTTATTCTTTCCAACTTTTTTTTATGTTCTTCCTTATTTTAAATCGTTCTTTGGTTCATTTGAGGCTGCTAACAGTGCTTCCAGGAGCTGTAAGAATCAGTTTCACTTTCTAAGTGACTGTTTTGCTGAGTAAGTGAGTTTATTTAGGCGTAGGTACACGTAAGTACAATTATTATGCATTGTGTAAATTACCTAGGATAGCCTCACCAAAAAGTCAGACAAAGTGATATACGTCGAGACTCGATCCTCGCAGCCACGAGTGAGTGTATCCGCAGAGGATGAAGAGTGAAGGAAGTATAGCATTGACCACTTACCTCTGGATCATTGTGTAAGCTGTGTGGGTAGCCGTGCCCAGGATGGTGTCAGTCTCTCACGCCTCTCCAAGGTTAGGTTAGTAAAGGTTCGTCAGGAAATAGGACAAGTGTTTCCTGACACGGGTCTTAGATGACCCGCCGTTCTCTCGCAGACTACCCTCTGCAGTTATATTTATACCCACCACCATCTCCACCACCTGCTATCACACAGATGCCAAACTTCTTTTAATATGTTCAATATTATTATCGTCGCCTGAGTGAGGGAGTTCTACGACCCCTCACTCACTTGACTGGGAGGGAAGACTTCACTTTACTGACATAAAGATGGATCACTCTGCCACGCTTTCAATATAAATGACAGGGGCTTATTATACTAGTAATTATAAAGTTAGTCTCTGGTGCCGTTAGTGACGAGATCAGTGCCCTCTGCCAGTTGTAGGTCAGATGTACGATACAGGAAAGGTTGGGCAGGGCGCGGCGTCCATGAGAAGGGAAGAGTGAGGAGCCCTTCCCTTGATAATACTCCTTGTAAGGAGACACAACCGCTATTTCACCTGTTTTCTACCCCTGTTGTCACCACTCTGATACACGCACACTGCCACTCCTCACACACACACACACACAAACACACACACACACACACACACACACACACACACACACACACACACACACACACACACACACACACATACGCACACGCGCAGGGATTATGAAGATGACAGTAGGAGGGAAGAAATGAACGTTCAACAAAGACTAGATGAAGTTATAACTACAAAGGAAGTTGTGGGAGAGCTTCTAAGATGAACTAGATATAAAACGACAACACCACCACGAGCCACCTCAGACGCTGCCAGGAGACACAGAGGAAAATTACAAGTATTGAAAGAGGACCCACAAAAATCTCAGAAAGAGAGAAAGAGAAAGAGAAAGAGAAAGAGAGAGAGAGAGAGAGAGAGAGAGAGAGAGAGAGAGAGAGAGAGAGAGAGAGAGAGAGAGAGAGAGAGAGAGAGAGAGAGAGCTAGAACTAGAGCCACAGCCAGAGCCAGGTCTCAAGCTAACATCAGGTGACAGTGAGGACAGGGTCAACACTCAAGGTGCAGGGACTAACCCCTCTTGACTTGTTCTGAAGTCAAGGAGAGCAATTAATAATGGTGTCCATGGTGTCCACGGTGTCCACCGTGTCCACGGTGTCCACCGTGTCCACGTGACAAAAACATCATTCTGTTCAGCAGTGCCTTGGAATTCTGTTTGTTCACGATTTTTGGTGTATGTGTTGCAGGAGGGGGGGGGGGAGGGTAGAGGGGAGGGAGAGGGGTAGAGGGGGGGAAGGAGAGTTCATTTTCTGTTCCTGGAGTAGCATATTATCACGGCTTCAACTGTTATATATTCATGTTGTATATTCGTGTAGACAGAGGCGGCCTCAGGAGGTGCGGGGCCCAACTGGGAACAATTATGGTGGCGCCATAGGTGGAAAACAATCAAACTGTGCGCTTAAAAAATGCATGAGAGTTAATAGACCAAACAGATGTAAGCTACATTTTAATATAAAATTAAATACATGTAAGTCTACCAGTAACAAACAAAATTTGTATATCACCTTTGAGAAGTACATAGTCACAATAACACTTGCTTTATTGACTCTGAGAAGTACATAGTCACAATAACACTTGCTTTACTGACTCTGAGAAGTACATAGTCACAATAACACTTGCTTTACTGACTCTGAGAAGTACATAGTCACAATAACACTTGCTTTACTGACTGAGAAGTACATAGTCACAATAACACTTGCTTTACTGACTCTGAAATGATTTATTAAAAGTATTAATTTATACTTGTTCAGAAAAAAATCAGAATTTTAAGTGCACTGTTGGAAACAAATTATCTTTTTTGAACTTCTAAAAATAACTTGACATTCACAAACTATAATTGAGTAATATTATTATTGCCTTTTATTAGGAGAAAGTTATTTTTCTTTCTTTTTTCTCTGCAAAGTCTTTTAGAATTTTGTGGAAGTTTAAACTCCTGCTAATTTCTGATTCAATGGACATAATCGTCACACTGTACTACCGTTGTTACTCAAGTGATGATCTTAAGTTATGATCAGTTTCAACTTGGAAAAACTTCTTTCTCCGGATGCCCCCTTTTTTTACTTCGTGTTGTTGTGTGTACTTGACAAGCTGAGAGTAGATTATACTGTAGCGCTGGGCGTCCTTAGGCGCGGGACCCAATTGGGAGCAATCGGTCCAGTCGGCTTGTTGTCCGTGCCTGGAAGGGCCACGTGCTTGGTGCCAGGAAGGGGAACGTGCTGCACTGCCTCTGCACCATCTGTGTGGTGTCGACACCTAAAATAGGATATGTTAGGAAAGGTTCAAAGATCTTGAAGTGGATGTCAGCGAGTCCACGTTGGCTGATAACAGGAGAGGAGGAGACATGATAACCACATCAAAAGTTATGAAAGAACACGAAATGGATTATGAAAACCACGAAGTACCCGCAACAGGGACAAAAAGAGGACACAGTTGAGAAATTAAAAATTATGTAGAGCAGAAGGAATCCTAGAAAACTTTCCTTCACAGACTGGAAGTCCGATGGTATGAAGTCAAAAAAATGTACGTGTTGATAACTGTACACACACACACACACACACACACACACACACACACACAGGCCTAGTGTCTAATCGACATGTGCCTAGGACAAAATGGTAACTAACACACACACACACACACACACACACACACACACACACACACACACACACACACACACACACACACACACACACACATACATACACACAGGTTTACCCACAGGTTTACCCAAAGGTGCAGGGAGGCAAAAACCAAGTGTGCTAGGGAATGGAAGAAATATAGAAGGCAAAGGACCCAGGAGAATAAGGAGAGCAGTCGTAGAGGCAGAAACGAATATGCACAGATAAGAAGGGAGGCCCAAAGACAATATGAAAATGACATAGCAGTGAAAGCCAAATCTGACCCGAAACTGTTGTACAGCCACATCAGGAGGAAAACAACAGTCAAGGACCAGGTAATCAGGCTAAGGAAGGAAGGAGGAGAGACAACAAGAAATGACCGTGAAGTATGTGAGGAACTCAACAAGAGATTCAAAGAAGTGTTCACAGAGGAGACAGAAGGGGCTCCAGAAAGACGGAGAGGTGGGGTACACCACCATGTGCTGGTCACAGTGCACACAACCGAGGAAGAAGTGAAGAGGCTTCTGAGTGAGCTAGATACCTCAAAGGCAATGAGGCCAGATAACATCTCCCCATGGGTATTGAGAGAGGGAGCAGAGGCGCTATGTGTACCCCTAACAACAATATTCAATACATCTATCGAAACAGGGAGATTGCCTGAGGCATGGAAGACAGCAAATGTAGTCCCAATCTTTAAAAAAGGAGACAGACATGAAGCATTAAACTACAGATCAGTGTCACTGACATGTATAGTATGCAAAATCATGGAGAAGATTATCAGGAGAAGAGTGGTGGAACACCTAGAAAGGAACGATCTCATCAACAGCAGCCAACATGGTTTCAGGGACGGGAAATCCTGTGTCACAAACCTACTGGAGTTCTATGACATGGTGACAGCAGTAAGACAAGAGAGAGAGGGGTGGGTGGATTGCATTTTCTTGGACTGCAAGAAGGCGTTTGACACAGTTCCACACAAGAGATTGGTGCAAAAACTGGAGGACCAAGCAGGGATAACAGGAAAGGCACTACAATGGATCAGGGAATACTTGACAGGAAGACAGCAGCGAGTCATGGTACGTTGCGAGGTGTCAGAGTGGGCACCTGTGACCAGCGGGGTCCCACAGGGGTCAGTCCTAGGACCAGTGCTGTTTCTGGTATTTGTGAACGACATGACGGAAGGAATAGACTCTGAGGTGTCCCTGTTTGCAGATGACGTGAAGTTGATGAGAAGAATTCACTCGATCGAAGACCAGGCAGAACTACAAAGGGATCTGGACAGGCTGCAGACCTGGTCCAGCAATTGGCTCCTGGAGTTCAATCCCACCAAGTGCAAAGTCATGAAGATTGGGGAAGGGCAAAGAAGACCGCAGACGGAGTACAGTCTAGGGGGCCAGAGACTACAAACCTCACTCAAGGAAAAAGATCTTGGGGTGAGTATAACACCAGGCACATCTCCTGAAGCGCACCTCAACCAAATAACTGCTGCAGCATATGGGCGCCTAGCAAACCTCAGAACAGCATTCCGACATCTTAATAAGGAATCATTCAGGACCCTGTACACCGTGTACGTTAGGCCCATATTGGAGTATGCGGCACCAGTTTGGAACCCACACCTAGCCAAGCACGTAAAGAAACTAGAGAAAGTGCAAAGGTTTGCAACAAGACTAGTCCCAGAGCTAAGAGGTATGTCCTACGAGGAGACCTGGAGTTTACCTGGAGAGAGTTTCGGGGGTCAATGCCCCCGCGGCCCGGTCTGTGACCAGGCCTCCTGGTGGATCAGCGCCTGATCAACCAGGCTGTTGCTGCTGGCTGCACGCAAACCAACGTACGAGCCACAGCCCGGCTGATCAGGAACTGACTTTAGGTGCATGTCCAGTGCCAGCTTGAAGACTGCCAGGGGTCTGTTGGTAATCCCCCTTATGTGTGCTGGGAGGCAGTTGAACAGTCTCGGGCCCCTGACACTTATTGTATGGTCTCTTAACGTGCTAGTGACACCCCTGCTTTTCATTGGGGGGATGGTGCATCGTCTGCCAAGTCTTTTGCTTTCGTAGTGAGTGATTTTCGTGTGCAAGTTCGGTACTAGTCCCTCTAGGATTTTCCAGGTGTATATAATCATGTAGACAGAGAATAGTTTGGGAAGCGATGTAGTGGAGGCAGGATCCATACATAGCTTTAAGCAGAGGTATGATAAAGCTCACGGTTCAGGGAGAGTGACCTAGTAGCGATCAGTGAAGAGGCGGGGGCCAGGAGCTCGGACTCGACCCCCGCAACCTCAACTAGGTGAGAGGTTAAGGGAAATCAACCTGACGACACTGGAGGACAGGAGAGATAGGGGGGACATGATAACGACATACAAAATACTGAGAGGAATTGACAAGGTGGACAAAGACAGGATGTTCCAGAGATGGGACACAGTAACAAGGGGACACAGTTGGAAGTTGAAGACACAGATGAATCACAGGGATGTTAGGAAGTATTTCTTCAGCCACAGAGTAGTCAGTAAGTGGAATAGTTTGGGAAGCGATGTAGTGGAGGCAGGATCCATACATAGCTTTACGCAGAGGTATGATAAAGCTCACGGTTCAGGGAGAGTGACCTAGTAGCGATCAGTGAAGAGGCGGGGGCCAGGAGCTCGGACTCGACCCCCGCAACCTCAACTAGGTGAGTACAACTAGGTGAGTACACACACACACACAGGAGGACGTGCAGGATGAATGAAGCCAAACTACAAGACAGGGGATTACACAGGTATGAAGAATTTCCT